AGAATAGAATAGAATAGAATAGAATAGAATAGAATAGAATAGAATAGGTGGAATGAAATGGAATAGAATAGAAAACAGGATAGGATAGGGTAAATAGAATAGAATAGAATAGAAAATGTGGAATGAAATAGAATAGAAAACAGAATAGAATAGGAATAGAATAAAATAGAATAGAATAACAGAGTTGGAAGGGACCTTTATTCACTTAGCGACATAAATTTTGGTCTCAATTGTGGTCATAAGTCAACAACTACCTGTAAATACTATTTTGCAATGGTTTTTAACTTAGGATTCAGAATCGTTTTTTTTTTTTAAAGGTTCTTGCGGGAAATATATTAGGTGGTTCTGGTGTACAAATTGTGTGAGATCTGTGCAATTGACAGTGAAAAGGTTTCGGGTTTCACAAATTACAACGCTAGGTAGTGAGCAGCCCTTAGTGGGCGTTTTATTTCAAGAACTGCTGAAAAATGTACGGTTATTGCGGGTATAAAATGGGAGCCAGGTGTGCTGCAGCACAGGTGTTTTGTGTTTTGCAACATTTATGTCTTGATGCATTGGACTTTGCCAGGCCATAATTTCATTTTCTCCTGCAGGGAAGCTGTGTATAAAACAAACCAGGGCTGGATAAAACAACTCTTGCTTAACTCTTGCTTAGAGTTGGAAGGGACCTTGTAGGTCATCTAGTCCACCACCAGCCCGTCCAAGCGGGAGACCCTACACCATCTTAGAGTAGAGTAGAGTAGCGTAGCGTAGCATAGAATTCTTTTATTGGCCAAGTGTGATTGGACACCCAAGGAATTTGTCTTGGTGCAAATGCTCTCAGTGTCCATAAAAGAAAAGAGACCTTTGTCAAGAGTCGAGAATGATCAGGTACAACACTTAATGATAGTCACAGGGTACAATAAGCAATCAAATCATACCAGGAAACAGTCAATATAGATTGTAAGGGTACAAGTAACAAAGTTACAGTCATATAGTCACAAGCGGGAGGAGATGGGTAATAAGGAAGGATGGGGGGATTTATAATAATAGTAGTGCCGACTTCATAAATAGTTGAACAGTGTTGAGGGGATTATTTGTTTAGCGGAGTGATGGCATTCAGGGAAAAACTCCCCTTGTGTCTAGTTGTTCTGGTGCGCAGGGCTCTATAGCGTCATTTTGAGGGAAGGAACTGAAAACGGTTTATGTCGGGATGTGAGGGGTCTGTAGATATTTTCCCAGCCCTCTTTTGGACTCGTGCAGGATATACAGGTCCTCCATGGAAGGCAGGTGGGTACTATTTGTTATTTTTTCTGCAGTCCTAATTACTCCCTGGAGTCTGTGTCTGTCCTGTTGGGCTGCAGAACCAAACCCAGACAGTTATAGAGGCGCAGATGACAGACTTTCTGACCAATGGCAGTCCAGTCTCTTCTTGAAGGTCTCCAGGGATGAAGCTCCCACAACTTCTGAAGGCAACTTCTGTTCCATCGGTTGATCGTTCTCACTGTCAGAAAATGTCTCCTTATTTCCAGGTTGAATCTCTCCTTGGTCAGTTTCCATCCATTATTCCTTGTCTGGCCTTCGGGTGCCTTGGAAAATAGCTTGACCCCTTCCTCCTCCTCTCTGTGGCAGCCCCTCAACTATGGGGAGGCTGCTCTCCTGTCTCCCCTGGTCCTTCTCTTCCCTAGACTAGCCGGGCCCAGTTCCTGCAACCGTTCTTCGTATGTTTTAGCCTCCAACCATCCTCTAATCCTCCTGGTTGCTCTTCTCTGCACTCTTTCCAGAGTCTTAACCTCTTTTTTATAGCCTGGTGACCAAAACTGGATGCAAGACTCTAGGTGTGGTCTTACTAAGTCTTTTCTAGAGTGGTATTAGTACCTCCCTTGATCTTGATTGTATCCTTCTGCTAATGCAAGTTAGGATTGCATTGGCTTTTTTCGGCTGCTGCTGCACACGGCTGGCTCCTATCTAGCAGGTTGTCCAATAAGACTCCAAGATCCTTCTCCCAGTTCCTCCTATTGAGCCTGGTTTCACCCAGTCTATACGTGTCCTTGTGGTTTTTCTTGTCTAAGTGACTTTGGTCTGCACTGAATTTCATTTTGTTAGATACGACCCAGGGTTCGAGTCTGTCGATAGCCATCTGGATCTTGAGCCAATTTCCTTCGTGTCGATTCAGAAACCAGCCCTGTTCAATCCGCCGGCGATTCGCTCGTAATGACGGATAGGAGGAGGCAGCCTCAAAGTACATGGTGACATTGTTAGCCGTCATCAGGAAAAGAAAAAGTTAGATCTCTAGAGTGTGCATCCTGCGGTTGTCTACTCAAAGACAGGTAGTTCTCGACTCAGCTCGATTAGTGACCATTTGAAATTACGACGGCACTGGGAAAAAATGACTTAGGGCCGTGGTTCACACTTACGACCGTTGCAGCTTTCCTGTGGTCAAATCTGGACGCTTGGCCATTGACTCCTATTTACGACGGTCACCATGTCCTGGGGTCATGTGATCCCCTTTTGCGACCTTCTGACAAGTCCACGGGGAAGCCGGATTCGCTTAATGACTGGATTATTAGCAACTGCACCAGTTCACTTAACAATGGTGGACAGAAAGGTTGTAAAACGTAAAACAAAACTCACTTAACCGCTGTCTCGCTTGGCAACCTAAATTTTGGCCTCAGTACAGCCCAACCTTTCTAGTAATCTTCTAACCTCGAAAAGTCGCTAAACGGATGGTTGGGATTTCAATAGATCTTAAGCACAAATAGTTTGTGGATGAAGGCGAATCTAGGGGTCCCAGGATAATTAATTTAATCCCACTAAAATGATTCTGGACTGACTGATGTTCCACAGCACTGAAATTGCTGCTGTTTAAGGAGCTGTTTTCTCCTCCTCTTCACTTCTTCCACATTAATCACTGGTGCAAGAACAACCAAGTTTCAATCATTGTCTGGAACAAACCACCTTTGTTTTGCTGGATCCGACCTGGGTTGGACTTCGGGACCGGAGTTTTGGTCTTCCGAGCTTTCAGACTTGTGCCAGGGATCTTCTCTCGAGTGGAGTGTGTGTGTGCGCTTCAGGCTATTCTACGAGTGGCCTTTATGTGGTGCCTGGTTGTGTGTGGCTTTTTAGTTGTGGATTGGGGTGTGGATGGATGGCTATTAAGTCGTTTGCTTATGCTGCCCATCCCTCACCTCCTAAGTACTTGACAAACTGATAGTAAATCAGCCCTGGTGTTGATTGATGAGAGGCATGTTCAATGACTTCCCTGGCTGTTTTTGTCCCTGATCATCCGACAATCTTAGTAGCTGCAAAATTGAATGTATGTCCTTGTTCACTGCCATAGGAGGCTACCAATGAGTTCGGGCAGTTGTGGGATTCAAATGTTTTTACTACCAGTTCTTGTGGGCGTGGCTTGGTGGGCGTGGCAGGGGAAGGATATACTGCAAAATTCCCCCTTCCCTCCCCACCCCACTAACCTGCTTTCCAGCTCCGTTCTCCTGGGCAGGGCAACCAAAGGAGACCCAGACGATCAGCTGGGACTCGATGGGAGGCAGAGATTAGAGGGGGTTGGCGGGGCCAGTCAGAGGCGGGATTGGCCAGTTCTCCAAACTACTCAACATTTCCGCTACCAGTTCTCCAGAACCGGTCAGAACCGGCTGAATCCCACCTCTGTGTTCGGGTCTCCTCATCTGACCGCTTCCTTGTGTCCTTGCAATCTGGTACGATCACAGTGGCAACCCTTGTTGCTCAGGAAGCAAGCTGTGTCCTTTTAATAATGGCCTGATCTGTTGGAACATGGAACTAAGCTGGCTTGGAGAAGCCACCCGTCTTCTAAATAGTTGGGAAGGCTTCCTGACTGTTGACGTGGTTTTGAATCCT